CGGCTTATACACCAGAATCAGGTCAATTAAAGCTAAATTGATTCCAGATAAGGGTCAACAGAATTCAGGAGGGGTTGGACTTGGAGTGTTTGTGGGAATGCAATGACTGTAAACTGATGATATACTTAACTCCACCCCCCGCAGCTGTGCCTCCTCTTCTCCTACTTTAGCTAACACCTTCAGTGTTAGAAGGAAATAGAGTGTGCTTCCTGTTTATAAAAAAAATAGCTTGCCCAGTCAGAGTTGGTGGGGGTTTATTCTCCTTGGTTGGGTCCTTGATTGGGTTGTTGTTTACTGTTGATTATTTGTCTGATGTTAATCCTGGTGTAAATCCTTACTTACCTAAAAGTTGAGTGCTAACTCAGAATGTCCTGGTCTTTTTGTTTCCTTCTTAACTTTTTTATTCTGCTTTGAATGGTGTGTAACTGATGTGATACTCACAGTTTCCCAGCTAAGATTAAGTCTGTTCATGTTCTGTAAAATTAAGGAGATTTCATCATGTTGTTTTCTTCTTCTTCAGCTCCTGGATCTTTTTGTTTACTTAAGATATTTTGGAGTGTTTTAGTTAATTTGAACATACACCCTTTGTCTTATTTCACCACCTGCAATTCTTGCTAATGACTAGGAGGACCAAATTGTAGATCATGCTCCATATACTTCAAAATATTAAACAAGCTTTTCCTGCTTGAGCAGCAGGCTGGACTAGAACACTTCCAAGGTCCCTTCCAACTCTTTTTTTCTGTTAAGAGGATCGGTTTGTGCAAGAATGTGTGCAGAATATAATACTGGTCACTGTAATAAACACATTTTTAAAACCCTTGTAATGGTAAAAGATGAAGGATACTTTTGGGTTGATTCAAATGTCATAATTTGGACCCAGCCCAGGACTTATGTACTTTAAGACAATTTGGCAAATAACTTTAGACATGCATGATACTGACTGGAGAGAAACCAAATCCTCTGAAAATATACTCATAAAAATGCTCGGGAAAGGTTTTTTCACAACTTTTTTCTCTCTCTTAGAATTGTTATTTGTTTGGATTTATAAACATCTCAGGACTACTATTCATGCATTTCCCAGTCATCTATTTTGGTTTTGTGAAGATTGTCCAATTTACAGGAGGAAGATGTATGTTTTTGGCCTGATGACAAGATCTAATTTTTCCAAGTTTCATGTGAACAAAAAAAAAAAAAAAAGAACTATATAATTATTCTGTACATTTTAAAATAGATGTTTTGTCTGATGAATGCAGGCCACAAGGGGAACAAAAAAGGGAAATCAGTTGGCTGACATAGTAATTTACTAGAGTCCTATATTTAGTTCTCTAAACTTAGCTTACCGCAATGTGCTTTTATGAAGATGGTTTTGAAGACGCTGGGACAAATGATGCAAAATGCAACAGCTGGTGTGAATGAAACTCTCTTTACCCATGTAATATCTTTACCAGGGCACTGTATGAGATTTTGGATAGGTTTTTGGGTACAATTGAAAGTATGGACATTAACCTATAAAACCCTGTTATGGCTTGACTCCTACGTGTCATTAGGACTGTTTCCTCTAGGTTCAACAAGTTTGTTATGTCTGCGTGTCCTGTTTAGAGAAGATTCCTGCTCTGTTTGGAAGATGAACAATAGACCTTTTTCATGGTAACCCTTTTCTTTGGGAACAGCTTCCTTCAGAGACATCCATCTTGTAGTGACCTTGATGCTCTTCCATTAGGCTGCTAAGAATTCCATTATATGGTCTTTTGGGAGTTAGCGTTGCCCGGTTAGAAGATGCTGAAGCTAACACATATCTTACTGAGTTATATTTTTTGTTGTGTATTTTTAAATTGGAATTTGTTTTTGATTTTAACAGTGCTTTTATGTTTTAGGAGTCTTACGCTGCAATCCATCTTATACAGGTAGTCCTCCACTTACAGCAGTTCATTGAGTGATCATTCAAAGTTACAATGGCACTGGGAAAAGTGACTTACGTCCATTTTTCACATTTACATTTACATTTTACACATTTACGATGACATTTACGACCATTACCCATGGTCACATAATCAAAATTGGGATGCTTGGCAACTGGTTCATATTTTTGACTGTTGCAGTGTCCTGGGATTATGTGATGACCTTTTGTAACCTTCTGACAAGCAAAGTCAATGAGAAAGTCAGGTTCACTTAACAACTGTGTTACTAACTTAATAACTGCAGTGATTCACTTGAGAGTTGTAAAATGGGGCAAAATTCATTTAACAAATGTCTCACTTAGCAACAGACATTTTGGGCTCAATTGTGATTGTAAGTTGAGGACTAGCTGTACTATTTAAATTTGGGGGTAAATGAGCACAGTAAAGAAAGAAATAATCATGTACATCTTGTACAAATATGGGAAGAAGCTGAGGCTATTTATGTAATAATAAAGCAAATATTGCCAGCAGATAAATCACTTTATTTGCAGTCTTCAGTGAACAGTATGAAGGTGATATGTTCTGTCTTGCATTTTCTTTTTGGCAATTTTGTTCACCTTAGGAGTGTCTATATTTTGGATGAAAATAAGTTGATGTATCCTATACTAAGGCAAACTGGAGAGCTAAAGATCAATTCCCTGGTGTTGATGTTAGGAGAAGGACTGCCTAGTACTAAAGTATCCAAATGTTCAACATAATTTCCCTTTACTTACAAATATAAGTTGCTGCTGAAGTTTCCTGCATCCAACAGCTTGACCTATTTATGGATTTCTAGATAAAGCTGTTTGTACTGCTCTGAAGTTAAAAAGTCTTTTTTCTATTTATCTTTTACAATATCCCTGACAAGATGGTAGAGACATTCCATGATGATTTCTTTATTATCTGGAGTTTGTTGTCCTTTGGAAGCCTTTATAGATGGCTACTTGAATACATCCAGTGAATGAAAATGCACTCTGAAAAATGAAAATATACAGAAAGCAGAAAAGGATATCTCAATTGTACTAGAAATTAGTTGATTGAAATTGAATTCAGTCCAATTCAGTCCAATTCAGTCCAATTCAGTCCAATTAGGTCCAATCCCAATCCAATCCAATCCAATCCTTCTGAAGTGAACTGGATTCTTAGTGGTTTGATTCCCCCCTCCCCCAGAAAGTAATCAATGTGGGGGCAACCTGATTTTTTAGTGTGTGCACATGTTTGTGTGTGTATATGTGTGATTTCCCCAAATATATCTGCTGCCACTAAACAATAGTATTCATGAGCCTCATTGTGATATACTTTGTAGAGGTGGGGTTCACCAGCAATTTCCTTAGGAATCAATGCTTGGGTGACCCAAAGGTGCTTTTTCAAGAGGCAACTGGACTTTCTGGTTTTTCTTGGATGACGTTTCGCTTCTCATCCAAGAAGCTTCTTCAGCTCCGAAGAAGAAGAAGAGCCGAGGTGGCGCAGTGGTTAGAGTGTAGTACTGCATCTACTTCAGCTGACTGCTAGTTCAGCAGATCAGCGGATCAAATCTCACTGGCTCAAGCCTTCCATCCTTCCGAGGTGGGTAAAATGAGGACCCAGATTGTTGGGGGCAATATGCTATTTAGTATACTGTCTTTGGTGTAAGCCGCCCAGAGTCCTCGGAGAGTGGGCGGCATAGAAATATGATTAATAAAAAATAAATAAAAAATAAAAAAACCAGAAAGTCCAGTTGCCTCTTGAAAAAGCAGCATTGGGACAACCATGACCTCAATGACTGAGAATCTCCACAGACAATGCTTGGGTGAGTTGATTCTGATTATAGGAGTCGATTCTATAAAAGTTCCATTGGGGTTCACTGGTATGTTTAGATAGGATTGATTAGATGCCACATGAAGAATTGTGTCCAATTTGGGATGCTACAGTTTAAGAAAGGTTCAGAGAAACTGAAACCAGTTGAGAAAACTACAGTGACAACAATGAGGGAAGTAAAAATGGTCTTATAAGGAGAGACTGAAGGAACTGGATATACTTAGCTTTGAGAGGAAAAGACTGAATGGGGATATGATAGCACTCTTCAAATATCTGAAAGGATATTACACAGAAGTTCAAGACATTTTCATTATTATTTCAAAATGAAAGACATGGAAAAATGGACTTAAGTAATAGGAAAGCAGGTTCCAAGTGAATATTGTAATATTCATAAGAGCAAAAGCAGTTGATGATGGAACCACTTATTCAGAAGTGGATGTCTTCTCTTCACTAGATGGATTCAAGTAGTTCTAAATAAATGTCTGTTGGAAACATTTAATTTGGGTTTGTGTTCTGAATAATGGATTGGACACCATGACATTCTGGAGAGCTGTTGCCAGTCAAAATTGCCAGTACGGAACCAAAAACACCAGAAATCCAAACTATCATAACATAATTTCCTATGCCCTATCTGCAAATCAGTTTGATTTAAAATCGTAGCAACAGTAGTAGAAGCCTCAAGAGATATCTGACAAGGGTGTTTAATCTTGCTTGTTTCAAATAGAATGTAATGTGAATATCTAGCAAGCCTTGACATTCCTTTGATCCCTACTTCACAAATTAATATAGCTTACTTTTTTTGCTTTTGCTTTCTGCAAAGGAGATCAGAGTAATTAAGATGCTTATCTTTTACAAACAAAATAATGGTCCTGAATGCAGTTCTCAATGACTTCTGCTTTGATCTCACAATTCTGTCAAATATTGATGTGCCTTTAGAGAGTTATCGTGCTCTCTGGTAATCTGTATGCATCACCACACATTATGAAAATTAATTACTGTGTGCGGGGTTTTTTTCTTGATGTATTAGCAGATGAAAGCCTTAACATGTACTATGCAAAAGGGAATCTGGGTGGGATTTATCTGTGGAATATGGTTCATCTAACATTACATTTTCAATTCGTATTAAAGTGATGGATGTAAAATATCCTTTAATAACTTTAATATATTTTTCTCACCACTAAATTAATATTCTTTAGAGAGAGAGAGAGACCTGACCCCATTAGTCCAATCCCAGCCAACTGCTCCAAACCACCAAGAGCCTACAGTCATTTGGTGGCTTTCCTGACAACTTTCAGGACCACATTGTGTGGTGATCGTGAGGAAAAGGTCAGTATTAGCAAACCTTTCTCTTTTTCTCTGATCCTAATTAAGCAGAGAAACTAGTATTGTAACAGAATGCAGACATGAAGGATTCTGTTGACCACATACTGCAGACTTTATGAACAGACCCGCTGTTTCATTCAGTCATCCTGAGATAATATTTCATTGATTGGTTCCACAAGAGTTATTTTAACATATTCAAGGAATTCACATGCAGCTAAAATATCAAAATGCATAGTACAAACCAATTGTTTTCATTCTGTTTTCATCTTCTGATAATAGCACCTCAGAGAGAATTTTCTGAAGTATTTCAAATTAAACGCTTACATACATTAAAATGAACCGAATCATTATTTCTGGACAGTCAAGATCAAAAATTACACACATAAATGCTTGACCCAACAAAAATGGAAATCATGAAATATCAGAAAAATTAACTCCCCCTACCCCTCCCAGCATTTTTCAAAGCAAAAAACTCAGTTGCAGCCAGCTATTATTTTAAATTTTCTAGTGATGCTTTGGAGTATTAACAGCATTACTATAATGCTGAATTCTAGCAATTAGATTTGCAGTCTGATCTATCTCTATCTCTATCTCTATCTCCATCTCTATCTCTATCTCTATCTCTATCTCTATCTCTATCTCTATCTCTATCTCTATCTCTATCTCTATCTCTATCTCTATCTCTATCTCTATCTCTATTTCTATCTATATCTCTTTATCTCTATCTCTATCTCATCTATTATCTATCTATCATCTGTTTATATCATCTTTACATCTACACTGTACATCTGTATCATCTCATATCAGTGGTGAAATCCAAATTTATTTACTACTGGTTCTGTGGGCATGGCTTGGTGGGCGTGGTGTGGCTTGGTGGGCATGGCTTGGTGGGTGTAGTAAGGGAAGGATACTGCAAAATCCCCATTTCCTCCCCACTCCTGGGGGAAGGATATTGCAAAATCTGGGGCCAGCCAGAGGTGGCATTTGCTGGTTCTCTGAACTACTCAAAATTTCTGCTACCGGTTCTCCAGAACCTGTCAGAACCTGCTAGATTTCACCCCTGCCTCATATCATGCTCTCTCTCTCTCTCTCTCTCTCTCTCTCTCTCTGTATGTGTGCATATCTATCTATCTATCTATCTATCTATCTATCTATCTATCTATCTATCTATCTATCTATCTATCTCTCTATGTATGTGTGTGTGTGTGTAAATATAGATATAAATATATAGATAGAGATAGAGATAGCTAGCTAGGTAGAAAGATAGCTATAGCCATAGCTATAGATATGACAGAGAAACACACAAGGCTTTCCTCGGTTTATGCTAGGTCTATGTTCCTCGAAAACTTCACACAAAGTGAATTCACACAAAGCAAAATACTCAGCCAAAGAGAAAAAGAGTCAAATTTTTATAACCCAAATGCATTGACTAGAATGTTCATAAATATTTAGAGCTTTGTTTTTAAGTGCTATGTCACTATGTCATTTCAGCACTTTTATTCCTCAATTTATGTTTTATGTTCAATGAAAGCACTTTCTGCATTTTTTCTACAGCTGGATTTCTAATATGCATGGTTATTGTTACAGAGAAAGGTATAGACTGCATCATGGTGGTGTGAATTTTATTAGTGCTCTTCATTATGTTGTGGATAATATATTTTTCCCACTTAAAAGCTAATGCTGGGGCTGAGGATCAGTCAGGGAAGGCCTTTTCCTTTTGAGTAAGGGGAATGGACAAGAGGTTGATGGGCTTTTTGACCCCATAGTAACAGTAATATCTATTGCAGGTGTGGAGAATAACTAGAACAACTGCACAGTACAATGGTACACGTACATGGGTGAATGAGTACAGAAAGTAATTTATCTACGTTTCTTGGAAAAATACATGGAAAAATCCCACTTGCAAAAAATCCAATTAGGGTTAGGGTTAGGGCTCCATGAATTTGCAGAGCAAAAGAGATATGTCCAATGGATTTGGAGTCCATTAGTATGGTTAGGAAGATGCATACTTTTCAAGTTTGCCTTATCAATATTTCCTGGCAAAATACATGGGTAAATCCCATTTGCAAAAAATCTACTTAGGGCTAGGGGTAGGTCTCCTTGAATTCACAGAGCAAAATGTACATGTCCAATGGATTTGGAGCCCATTAGTAGGGTTAGGAGCATGCTTTTCAAGCCTGCCTTATCTGTTTCCAGGAAAAATACATGGGGATATCTAATTTTCAGAAAATCCAATTGGGTTAGTGGTAGGTCTCCATGAAGTCGCACAGCAAAATGGACATCACCAATGGATTTGGAGCCCATTAGTATGATTAGGATGGTGAATATTTTTCAAGTCTGCCTTATCTACATTTCTTGGCAAAATACATAGGAAAATCCCATTCATGGAAAATCCACTTAGGGTTACAGTTAGGTCTCCATGAATTTGGAGACAAAAATGGACATTACCTATGGATTTGGAGCCCATTAGTATGATTAGGATGGTGCATATTTTTCATATCTGCTTTGTCTACATTTCCTAGCAAAATACATAGGAAAATCCCATTTTTGGAAAATCCAATTAGGATTAGGTGTCCATGAATTTGGAGAGAAAAATGGACATCACCCATGGGTTTGGAGCCCATTAGTATGATTACAGTGGTGCCTATTTTTCAATCCTGCATTATCTACGGGTACATTTGGTACTGGCAAAATACATGGGAAAATCCCATTCATGGAAAATCCACTTAGTGTTAAGCCTCCATGAATTCTGAGAGCAAAATGGACATCACTAATGGATTCGGAGCACATAGTAGGCCAAGAAACGTAGATAAGGCAGGCTTGAAAAATATGGACCCTCCTAATCATTCTCAGTTAGGATGAGAAACACTTGGAAAGGAAAGCAGTCTGGGAGGATGTACCTTGCCTCTCCAGCTCTGTGAAACACAGTTCAGCATGTCCCACTTAAATGCTGTCTGCCCTGACAGACAGAGCCGCTTGTTAAAACAATATATCAACTGACATGAATGCCAAAGACTTTACCTGGGTCATGTCTATTACATTCTCATATCCTCTTCAAGCTGTGCTTCAGGAAAGAATAAACACACCATGTAAATCTAGTTTTGTATGTCAAACAGTAGGCTATGCAAATAGCCAGGTAATTTTCATGGCTAAAGCTCAACAGAGGAACAGCCCCGAGTTTCAGTCAGCAAGTCAATTTACCTCTGATGACAATTTAGGTAATTTCCAATGAGAGTGGACTTTACCACGTCTGCTTTGAGGGCAGATGGCCCAATGTTCTAAACAGCTTTGTTCAGAAATGAAACTCTTTCAAGGAGAGATGGCAGGCAATCAAAACCAGGGATTAGATGCTACTAAATGGGGCTGACCTGAAAATGAATGAAGATCTTATTATCAGTAGAGCTTGTTCTCACATTCAGATAGTCGAGAGAAAATTGCAAAATGGGGGTGCAGATAACTAACAATCTGATTGGTCGTTCCACACATCATCCTTAGTGAAGCGTGCAAACCAGCATTTGCATTTCCTGCATTGGATGAGAAGAACATCTCTTTCTCCTTCTGTCCTGACCACTTTTTACAGAGGCATGATTGAGAGCGTTTGAACAAACTGCATCACTGTTTGGTTTGGTGACAGTAGTGCCTCAGTTAGAAAGTCTATACATAGAGTGGTAAGGACAGCCGAGAAGATAATAGAAAGCTTGCTTACTGTTATTCAGGATACTGTTTATAAGCGCTTAGTGCTTAGAGGTCGAAGCATTGTTAAAGACCCTACACACCCACTTTACAGTCTGTTTCTGTTGCCCCTCTCTGGGAGGAGGTTTTGGAGTATTTCTAGCAGGACTACCAGATACTGTAACAGCTTTGTTCCCTATGCCATCCGTCTGGTAAACTCGCAAGATTCATTTTTCTCGCCATGTACTGTACATGTATTTATCCGAATTAGACTGTGTTGTTTCTCTGTGTCATATATGTGGGTATATGCATATTTATTTATTTATTATTTATTTTCTTGTCATGTTTATGTAGTGTATATTGGAGGTGGTGACCCTTTGAGAGAGTGACTCCCAAAGTCCCCAGGGAAATTTATGGGCAGGGATATTTGAAACGAGCCTCTCAATAACAATTCCCACAACTTAACCACTGTTGAACCCTGGCCACACAATTGACTAACAGACTCCCACAGAAGAAAGAATTAAAGCAAGCAGTTGGTTGCACAAGAGTGCAGCTTACAGACAGAAAGTAAACTTTTTCCGATCCACAAAATGCATTATATGCGTTTTCAATTCCTTAATTGTTTTTTTTAAACTCACCTTGTTTTCTGTTAGAAACAGACATTAAATGCAGTATTCTTGTCAATTTGATGGCGAGTCACATAACATTTTAAATTAGAAGACTAGCTGAATTTTAAGCACATTAATATTTGTATCCCAATAGTTGGATCTAGAATTACTGATGTGGCAAACAGTACACGAAAAAAAGACTTTTATAATGGATAGCTTCCCTTTTCTAAAGCCCCGATTCCATTAGGAAAGACTCAATAGACAATGTATAATTAACTTTCAATTAGTGATATATTTCAGTATGATTCCTACCCTCTCCTGAACACTAATACTTAAATAGCTATTAATAAAATGAAATATAAGAGGCAATCTTGCAGCAATTGCCAGGAATTATCTTGGGTGTTTGGTCAATGGTTATCACTTTCTCCCATTCAACAATATGTATTTTGATTTAAAGTTTTATAAAAGTGTCCCAAAGTGCTAAAGACATGTTTATCCCAGCCCAGAATTTAAATATCCCAGCCCAGAATTTAACGCATTGTAAGCCGCCCTGAGTCTCCGGAGAAGGGCGGCATATAAATCAAATTAAAAAAAAAAAAATGATTAGGCCAGAATTCTAGAATGAAATTCAGGTTGTATACATGGGATACAGATTATTATAGATACCAACACGTTTATTTCTGAGGGCTTTCTCTGCTAGTGACATAAATTTCTATGCACCCA